CCAGAGCTCCATGTGGGCCTAGCCACGCCCATGTTTTGGAAGGATCCGGCTCAGGGAATCTCAGGCGACCTGTTGGACATCTAGATCCGGAAAAGGAGTCCTAAGGCATCCACGGCACAGAAGGCATTGGGCAGGGGGCCAAATGGACCCCCAGCCCCATTTTGGGCTCCCGTCTTTTTGAGAGAAAGGGTTCAGGGGGCAACCGCATGGAAACTGTGATTTGGTTCTGTATTTTCAGTTTGAGACCAGCCCAAAGCAGGTTTTGCACAGCAGTCTAAGAGAACTTGAGCCTTGTGCTGGTCGTTCCGCCTTTGGGTCGTTTCTACAGGCAGTCGTTTTACTGGGTTTCGCGCACGTTCCGGTGCCCGAGTTTGACCCTGACACGCAGGTCCGAAGTTCAGTTGAGCAATGAAGCTAAGTGGAGAAAATCGGACACGCCACATAGGGACTTGCCCACAAAGCCGTACACCTTCCTGCAGATCTTTCGGGTTTTCCTGATTGGCTCGTCCTTTCCCAGTTTTTTCGGCAAGTGCTGGTGACCGGCGAAGAGGCGGCAGTAGCATTTGCTGCATGTTAGACGTTTTCCACATCCGGGCACCTAGCAAACGGTTGGTCCTACCATGAGGCGCTTCAATGCGAGACCGGCAACCACATCTGCGAGCAAGCACCTGTGTCAAAACTGGTGGTACCCTCCTGAAAGGGGGCTACTTCTGAAACTGGCGCCGAGTTTAGGCACCTCGCCAGGTCTTATGAGGCATCGAGCTGCCTGATGAGCAACGGCCAAGAACAATGCATTTTCAAAAAAAGATTTCCTTCAGGTTTCTCGATGAGAAGGGCCGATTGTAATTGGAGCCCCATCTACCAAGGACATGAGTCATCACACTCACCAAACTACCGCCTGAACTTGAGGGTGACTCCTCATGTCACAAGGGAACGCATGTTGACCGTGGCTTTGATGGCTTATTAGCATCTCCCAAGGAGAAGCCCATGTTTGCGAGGAGCCGCAACCTGCTTGCCATTTAATGCTCCCGCACTTTCTTATGCGCAGACGTGCGTTGCATGTGTGTGCGTGCAATAAGCGGCCCGAGACGAGGGTGGGTTTGGACTGTGGGCTGTGGTGTGGTGTGGTGTGGTGTGGTGTGGTGTGGTGTGGTGTGGTGTGTGTGTGTGTGGTGTGTGTGTGTGTGGTGTGTGTGTGTGTGTGTGTGTGTGTGTGGTGTGTGTGTGTGGTGTGTGTGTGTGTGTGTGTGTGTGTGTGTGTGTGTGTGTGTGTGTGTGTGTGTGTGTGTGTGTGTGGTGTGTGTGTGTGTGTGTGTGTGTGTGTGTGTGTGTGTGTGTGTGTGTGTGTGTGTGTGTGTGTGTGTGTGTGTGTGTCTGTGTCTGTGTGTGTGTGGTGTGTGTGTGTGTGGGTGGGTGTGCGTGTGCGTGTGCGTGTGCGTGTGCGTGTGCGCGTGCGCGTGCGTGTGCGTGTGCGTGTGCGTGTGCGTGCGTGTGTGCGTGTGTGAGTGTATGAGTGTGTGTGTGTGTGCGTGTGTGTGTGCTGTTATGTATATATATACATATATATGTATATATATATATGTATATATATATATGTATGTATGTATATTTATATGTATATGTATATATATATATATATACTCACACATATGAGGATACACACTGCAGGTCTGAGTGAATATGCATTTCAACGCAGTTGAACCACGAGCATGATTTTCCCATCATCGTAGCCAGGCCGCTGGCAACGGTATCAGGTTCACATGGGGCAGACGCGGTTGGATGCCCTCTTCGCTTTGTCACTCTGAGGCCTTCGATCGGTTTGGAAGTTTGCCCAACGTTTTGGGATCCTTACGGCAGTTTGGCTGGTGTGGCAGTGGACCTGTCACAGATGCACCCGGGCGCCTTTGGAATTGACCCACTGGCAAAGGATCATGGCTCAACGTTGGCTCAAGGAGGCAGACATAAAAAAAGGGAAAATCATCTACAAGCTTCGATTGGTTTGTGTCCAAAACGAAAACAACAGCATCTTTCTGGGGGAAAGGAGGGGCAAATCGCTGAAACCAGGGGGGATAGCTTGGCTGTAGAGTTGCAGGGCTGTTTGGTTCTCGTTTCTCAGGTTTCGACACAGATTTTGTCAGCCGTTCCAACTAGCGTCTCCCCCAAAAAGGATGGCAATTGCCCTCCCCCCAATTGGAGAAAAGACCATCAGAATTGGAGAAAACCCCATAAGAAGAAGCAACCCAGCGAACACAGAGCAGCAGACTCCCTTAAAGCGCCGCTTTTGCCCCGATCGATTTCCCCAAGCGTTCTTTCGCCAATGGCCATCCGTTGGGCCGGACTCAGCGCCTTGGCACTGTGGTGCTTTCTGCTGATTTTCGATGCGCCGAACGACCGGCGCGGCCGGCGGCTTCAGAACTTCCAGGGGACAGCCGTGGCCAGCGCGCTGCACTTTTTGGAGTGCCCGAGTTGGCACAGGACCTCAGTGACCCGCGTGGTGGCGGGCGTGCTGGTGGCCTTGTCTTGCGTGACTCTTGTGAGTTTGCTGGTCTCCGTGGGAATGCTTTGCCTCCAAAAAGCCTGGCGCCTGGATTCACCGGGGGTTCTGCTGAAGCAGAAGATGGCGGGCATGGAGATCCAAAGCGTCCTGAAATACGGCGCTTTGGTCACGATCGCGGCCTCAGCGGCCGTTGCCGCGCTTTTATCGGAGCCAGCAGCCGTCAGATTGGCACCCGCGCTGCACCAGCACATCTCCGTGCCGCTGGATTTGACACAATGCCGAGTCCACTTTTTGCACACGCCGGAATTGTTTCCCATACGCGCAGGGGCTGATCTCAGCATTCAGGAGCAGAACCAGAGGCAAGAATACTTCGTGTCCATCTTGCTGTGGCTGACTCTCGCTGGGTTTCTTGCCGGCACGCTGCTTACACTTTTGGGAAATGCCTGCAGGGGCCAAAGGCAGCATGTCTATGCCCCATTGGATGCAGACAACCCGGCCCTTGCTCTGAGGCTTTGTGAGCATGTGGGGATTCACGCGTTTTGTGCTGGTTTGACTGTTCTGGCAGTTGCTACTGAACGCCTGGATTTGAAAGCGGGCGCTTGCTGGGAGATGTACGTTGTTTGGGCAACAGTCATGATTGGGCGCTCCCTTGTGCTCGCAACATACTTCACCTGCAGTCTGCCAACAGAAAGTGAGTTGCCACTGTTCGGATTTCCAGTGATTCAGTCAATCCTGCCAGTGCTGGGGGAGCTGTTGGACATCTTCAAGGACTGGCTTTTTATTGGTCTGGCTATGTCCAAATGGACCTGGCAGGGCATAAGCATTGCAGCAGTAGGCCTTCTGGCCCTGTTCCTGAGCAACGCATACATGCGACAGCACCACGCAGAGGAGCTGGCACGAATGCTCTCCCCGATACGAGAGAGCTGTTTCCCCTCCAAGGGGGGATTTCTAGTGAGGCAGACCTCCCCTGCGAAGCTGGCGGTGGTTTTGTCTGAAGACCTGCCCCAGGCGTGTTTGCAAAGTTTGTTCGCGGCTTGCTACGGCGGCTCCACCACGCAGCACGTCTTCATCGCCATCGGTTGCGTCAAGGCGGCCATGTGCCTGAGCCTCCGAGCTGCGGTGCTGCAGAGTGAGGGCCGCTGGGGGGAGGCTTACGAAGCCAGCCTCGAGTTTTACAAGATGAAGGTCTCCCTGTTGTCTGCGACGATGGGACCCAGGCGCCTCGTCACGCTACATGCTCAGGCCGGTTTGGCCCAAACGCTTCACAAGCTGGGCAAGCACGAGGAGGCCTTGCACATAGAAGAAGAAGTTCGGGCTGCAAGGGCCGAAATTCTGGGCGATCGACATCCAGACACAATCAATGCTCAGGCCAGTGTGGCCATCACGCTGCAAGCACTTGGCAGGAGCAAGGAGGCCTTGCAGATGAAACAAGAAGTTCTGACTGCAAGGGCTGCGATTCTCGGCGACCGCCATCCAGACACGATCAGTGCCCAGGCCACTTTGGCTACCACGCTGCAAGCACTGGGCAAGAAGAAGGAGGCTTTGCACATGGAACAAAAAGTTCTAGCGGCAAGGGCCGAAATTCTCGGCGATTGCCATCCAGATACGATCAAGGCTCGCAACAATTTGGCCAGCACGCTGCATGGACTGGGTCGCTACGAGGACGCACTGCACATGGAGCAAGAAGTTCTGACTGCAAGGGCCACAATTCTCGGCGATCGTCATCCAGACACAATCCATGCCCAGGCCAACCTGGCCGACACGCTGCGTAAGCTGGGGAGGCACGAGAAGGCCTTGCAGATGGAGCAAGAAGTGATGGCTGCAAGGGCCGAAGTTCTGGGCGAGCGCCATCCGGACACGATCAAGTCGCGAAACCATTTGGCCAACGCCCTGCACGGACTGAGTCGCTACGAGGAAGCCTTGCAGATGAAACGAGAAGTCCTGGCTGCAACATGGTTGTTGTTGGGAAACCTTCTACATTTTTGCTTATTGTGGTTCAGTGGGAAATCCACTCGGTTGCTAAAATTTGTTATTTTTCCTCCCCTTCCAACGTCAACCAAGGCAACCGCCGAGAGGTTCGGTGATTGCCATCCGGATACCATCAATGCCCGGAACAATGTGGCCACCACGCTGCATGCGCTGGGCAAGCACAAGGAGGCCGCTCAGCTGGTGAGATCGAATCTGGACCCGTAGGTGTCTTGCCAATGCCATGGCTTGTGTTTCACCCTTTTTGCGCCGCTCGCGGGGTGAAGGAAGCAAAGGCCGGCCGGGCTTGGTCTGACACGATCTCCTCGGCTTCGGCCCAGACTTCAGGCGACCCTGGGTGGATTGGTGGTTTGTTGGTTTGAACTCCTGGTTCTTGTGGCGGAATGGGAAAACCACGTCCACTTCAAGCTTCTAGGCCAAACTTCTAGGCAATCAGGGGGCAGCTGGAGTCAGACTCACTGACGCTCTGCTCCTTTTGTTTTTTTGGCGTTCTCGTCTTTTTCCCGCCCGGTCCGAGGCCTTGATCTGGAGGAGGAGCAGCTCTTCAACATCATCGACGAGAACGGGGACGGCAAGCTGAGCCGGGGGGCCCGTTGGACGCCTCTTCGGAGGCTTGTGGGGGCTTGTGGGGGGTTGTTTGGTCCCCCTAAAGTGCTGGAGAAACGCCCTGGTGTGGTTTTTTGGGAGTCTAAAAGTTGAGGTTCAGATTCCCTGTAAGTGCTATGGAAATTCGTGGTTTGGGGTCTGTTCCCGGGTGGTTTCCCATGTACCCTTGACGCTTGACGAGAAGGGATTCAAATCCCACCAATCCAAACCAGCAATTGAGGGTTACCTCAAGAGTTGTTTTTGCTCTGAGGGTTACCTCAAAAGTATTTTGGCTCTGAGGGTTACCTCAAAAGTTTTTTGGCTCTGAGGGTTACCTCAAAAGTTTTTTGGCTCTGAGGGTTACCTCAAAAGTGTTTGGCTCTGAGGGTTACCTCAAAAGTTTTTTGGCTCTGAGGGCTACCTCACGAGTTGTTTTTGCTCTGAGGGTTACCTCAAAAGTATTTTGGCTCTGAGGGTTACCTCAAAAGTTTTTGGCTCTGAGGGCTACCTCACGAGTTGTTTTTGCTCTGAGGGTTACCTCAAAAGTATTTTGGCTCTGAGGGTTACCTCAAAAGTTTTTTGGCTCTGAGGGTTACCTCAAAAGTTTTTGGCTCTGAGGGTTACCTCAAAGTTTTTTGGCTCTGAGGGCTACCTCACGAGTTGTTTTTGCTCTGAGGGTTACCTCAAAAGTATTTTGGCTCTGAGGGTTACCTCAAAAGTTTTTTGGCTCTGAGGGTTACCTCAAAAGTTTTTGGCTCTGAGGGCTACCTCACGAGTTGTTTTTGCTCTGAGGGTTACCTCAAAAGTATTTTGGCTCTGAGGGTTACCTCAAAAGTTTTTTGGCTCTGAGGGTTACCTCAAAAGTTTTTGGCTCTGAGGGTTACCTCAAAAGTTTTTTGGCTCTGAGGGCTACCTCACGAGTTGTTTTTGCTCTGAGGGTTACCTCAAAAGTATTTTGGCTCTGAGGGTTACCTCAAAAGTTTTTTGGCTCTGAGGGCTCTGAGGGTTACCTCAAGAGTTGTTTTTGCTCTGAGGGTTACCTCAAAAGTTTTTTGGCTCTGAGGGCTACCTCACGAGTTGTTTTTGCTGTGAGGGTTACCTCAAAAGTTTTTTGGCTCTGAGGGCTACCTCACGAGTTGTTTTTGCTCTGAGGGTTACCTCAAAAGTATTTTGGCTCTGAGGGTTACCTCAAAAGTTTTTTGGCTCTGAGGGTTACCTCAAAAGTTTTTTGGCTCTGAGGGTTACCTCAAAAGTTTTTGGCTCTGAGGGTTACCTCAAGAGTTGTTTTTGCTCTGAGGGTTACCTCAAAAGTTTTTTGGCTCTGAGGGCTACCTCACGAGTTGTTTTTGCTGTGAGGGTTACCTCAAAAGTTTTTTGGCTCTGAGGGCTACCTCACGAGTTGTTTTTGCTCTGAGGGTTACCTCAAAAGTATTTTGGCTCTGAGGGTTACCTCAAAAGTTTTTTGGCTCTGAGGGTTACCTCAAAAGTTTTTGGCTCTGAGGGTTACCTCAAAAGTTTTTTGGCTCTGAGGGCTACCTCAACAGCTTTTTGGCTCTGAGGGGTACCTCAAAGGTTTTTTGGCTCTGAGGGGTACCTCAAAAGCTTTTTGGCTCTGAGGGTTCCCTCAAAAGTTTTCTGGCTCTGAGGGTTACCTAACAAGTTTTTTTTGGCTCTGAGGGTTACCTCAAAAGTTTTTTGGTTCTGAGGGTTATCTCAAAAGTTTTTTGGCTCTGAGGGTGACCTCAAAAGTTTTTTGGCTCTGAGGGTTACCTCAAAAGATTTTTGGCTCTGAGGGCTACCTCATTTTTTTTTGGGCTCTGAGGGTTGCCTCAAAAGTTTTTTGGCTCTGAGGGCTACCTCAAAAGGTTTTTGGCTCTGAGCGTTACTTCAAAATATTTTTGGCTCTGAGGGCTACCTCAAAAGATGTTTTTTGGCTCTGAGGGTTACCTCAAAAGTTTTTTGGCTCGGAGGGGTACCTCAAAAGCTTTTTGGCTCTGAGGGTTACCTCAACCGTGTTTTTTTGGCTCTGAGGGTTACCTCAAACGTTTTTTTTGGCTCTGAGGGTTCCCTCAACAGTTTTTGGCTCTGAGGGTTACCTGAAAAGTTTTTTGGCTCTGAGGGTGACCTCAAAAGTTGTTTGGCTCTGAGGGTTACCTCAAAAGTTTTTTGGCTCTGAGGGTTACCTCAATTTTTTTTTGGCTCTGAGGGTTCCCTCAAAAGTTTTTGGCTCTGAGGGTTACCTGAAACGTTTTTTGGCTCTGAGGGCTACCACAAAAGTTTTCTGGCTCTGAGGGCTACCTCAAAAGTTTTTTGGCTCTGAGGGGTACCTCAAAGGTTTTTTGGCTCTGAGGGGTACCTCAAAAGCTTTTTGGCTCTGAGGGTTACCTCAAAAGCTTTTTGGCTCTGAGGGTTTCCTCAAAAGCTTTTTGGCTCTGAGGGTTCCCTCAAAAGTTTTGGGTCTCTGAGGGTTACCTAAAGAGTTTTTTTGGCTCTGAGGGTTACCTCAAAAGTTTTTTGGCTCTGAGGGTTACCTAAAAAGCTTTTGGGTCTCAGGGTTTCCTCACAAGTTTTTTGGCTCTGAGGGTTACCTCAAAAGTTTTTTGGCTCTGAGGGTTCCCTCAACAGTTTTTGGCTCTGAGGGTTACCTCAACAGTTTTTTGGCTCTGAGGGTGACCTCAAAAGTTTTTTGGCTCTGAGGGTTACCTCAAAAGTTTTTTGGCTCTGAGGGGTACCTCAACAGTGTTTTGGCTCTGAGGGTTACCTCAACAGTTTTTTGGCTCTGAGGGGTACCTCAAAAGTTTTTTTGGCTCTAAGGGGTACCTCAAAGTTTTCTGGCTCTGAGGGTTACCTCAAAATTTTTTTGGCTCTGAGGGTTACCTCAAATTTGTTTTGGCTCCGAGGGTTACTTCAAAAGCTTTTTGGCTCTGAGGGTGACCTCAAACGTTTTTTGGCTCTGAGGGTTGCCTAAAAAGCTTTTTGGCTCTCAGGGTTTCCTCGAATGTTTTTTGGCTCTGATGGTTCCCTCAACAGTTTTTTGTCTTTGAGGGTTACCTCAAAAGTTTGGGCTCTCACCAGACGCTGGCAAGTTGTGTCCCGCTTGTCTCCCGCGTGTGTGCGTCTCACTCGGCCCAGGTTTTGACGAGTTCTTCATGAGCCTCTGGCGGCTGCGCGGGAGCAAAGCCGGGCCCCCGGTTTTGAGTGAAAAAGGTGAACTCCCTCATCAGTGGCAACAAACCCAAGTGGCTGTGGGTCAAAACCCTGTACCCCTGATAAACATCAAAATAGGCGGCGCGGCAAATGGATGTTCATCCGCCCCAAAATGGGATCGCCACAGGTTCTGCAACCCATGGCCAAGTTAGATCAACTTTTCCATTCATAACCTATACGCGGGGTAGAGCCCGGACACTTCGGGTTAAGCTGAGGATCGGTTGCATTCCCTGCTGGTGCAGTCGGACATTGTGCAGACCCACAAGCAGCTGCGGGATCGGGTGGCCGAGGGCTCGGGCTTAGAGCTGCGGTGAGGGAGCAGTTTTGAGCCACAGCAATTTGTTTGAAGCTTTTCCAGCTTCAACTCTGTGGACGTGACTTATCCATTACCATCGCTTAGGTCCGTTTGGTTTCCCAAAAAACAAAAACAAAGGAAAACAAGAAAACAGAGACACCCTCGCAAAGACAAAAGACAAACCCACACGTCCTTTGTCATGTTCTCACTTCGATTTATTGGCCGACATGGCCTTTGAGAGCGCTAGCTTCACCGACCGAAGCGGTTGCCAGGAAACTCATTGGGTCTCTTCCCAAAAAAAAAGACCAGCCATGTAGTTCTGTTGAAACCTAAGCGTTTGAAGAAGGATGCGAAGAGGAGTTCAGGCGATTCGGTGCGAAAAGGTTCGATCCAACCTGCCTGCGGTTTCAAAAAAATCGCCCTTTCGCTCGTGTTGGTGCCTCCAAAGCTCCAGGGTTGAGATGTTCTCAAAACGGAGCCCGGAAAAGCGACCCAGATCTGTTCTTATTTTTCTTTCCTTTTTTTTTTTTTTGGGGGGGGGTTTCTTTTTTTTTTTTGGGGGGGGGGGGTTCTTTTGTTCATTTTTTTTTTGGGGGGGTTCTTTTTTTTTTTGGGGGGGGGTTGCTGTTTAGAACCTGGCGGGACACAGGTTTCCCATTTTTGGGAGGATCCTCAAACCGGAGAAGGAGGCGCGCGCTTAGGCGCAGATGTCCGAGACACTGGTCGCCTGCCACGCGGAGGAATGCTCCCAGCCGGGGCCCGGAGCAGTTTTGATTTTGAGATGTTTCTGTGTTTAAATGGGATGTCCTTTCTTATTTGAATGGGATATGATGGATATCTTGTTCGAATTGTTTGCTCCATTTTTTTTTTAATGATGGGACCCTATGGGATATGGGGCTGCACCATGAACGGATCGCGTTTTGACTTCAAGAAAATGGCGGCGTGCTGAAACAAATTGCCACGTGCTCACCACAACCTCATGGCAGGATTATTTTCGCCAAGTGGGTTCCGAAGGCGACGCGAAACGTGTTACCCGCCACGGGCGAAGCCACTGAATTGTCAGGTTCTAATGGCCATGGAGCCCTAAATGGGCAACGGGCCTTCACCGAGCTATGTTCTTAAGAGGGATCCGTCCAGCTTCGGATGTCCAAGGGTCCCAAATAAGATTTGAACCCAGTTGAAACGCCACCAAGATCCATCTGCCTCTTCCTTCAAAGTAAACAGATGTTAGGCACACTGCAAGTGTTCAAGCTTTATCTTCAACGAACCAAACAACATCGGTCTTGTGAACCCATTAAAGCAATACATATGAGCCATCATATGTATATATATATATATATATGTATTTACGTAATATATGTATATATATATATATACATACACATATATATATATATATACACATATACACATATATACGTATATATATATATACACATACACATCTGCAAGCACGGTGGCAAGTGGTGCCAGCCTGCGGAGCTTCGGATCGGCTCAGGCTGCGGGAGACTTTGACCGAGCGTTGCCAATCCCTGGGCCAACGGCTGCAGGAGCCAAGCGTTGACGCGGGGGGTCGGATCAGATCCGCCCTTCGGCTCCCCGAAACGGCAAGGTTTGTGGACGCCGAGACAACAAAACCACAAAAAGAACGTGGCAAAGGTTGATTTGGGTGTGGCTCAAAATTAAACAGGAGGGGCAAACCGCGGGTTTTGGGCCATGTTTCCACTTACCAGGGCAACCCATTTTGGTACCGGTTGTTTGAGCCACAGCCTGTTGACTCCGGAAACGAACACAAAAAAACAACCACAAAAAGAAGCCGTCCTATTTTGGCGGACGTTGCTTCAAGCGATGACCTGCGGACACCCCCCAGTCCAAAGAAGAGCAGTTGATCAATCCAGGGTTTCCAAAGATCAAGGGCACGGGAAAGCATGATGAAAGAGGGGAGTGATGATGGCTATGAGCGAGGGCGAGGTAGTCCTCTGAAGATTCTTCAAAAGCCTGGCAACAGATAACATGTGAAGGGGGAAGATATCCAGATTCATTCTACAGGGTCTATTTCAGGAGCTCTCTGAACTGGTGAGTGAATGGAGCTTATCACTTCCCATTTGCTTCACTCGCTCTTCGCTCTGACAGTTGACTCAGGAACAAGGGTTAGCAACGGCGGGCTGTGGAACTCTTGGTCATGTCCGCCATAGGAGCAATAGAAAGTGAGGGACAAATCCCTTCCATTCTCCTCACAATAAGCGAGACAACCATGTCAGGTTCGCTCAGGGACACGGGGACTCAGTACAAGAAACTTGGACACGTGGCTCATGTATTGATAGCGACCATCCGGATCAGCTGGCTGAAGCAACACGTGATTTACTCAGGAACACTGGAGAAATGTTATGGCACAGGCCAGTGTCAAGCCCCTTTTCCCAGTTTCTTGGTACTAACCAATTGCGTCGACTCCTCTTGGACCCCCAAAATTGTGTTTGTTTCATTGGTGTCCCGTTACAACCATCCCAAAACGGGTCCCCTCAAGACGCAGAATTCCGCTGGGTCCCCATTGGTGCAGCGCTTTTTCCTTGGGGCTGCAGGGTTTCTTCCTCAAAACCGTCGACTCTTGGGACCCCTCGACTTTGGTGGAGAGCGCTCGCTTCAGGAGCAGCTGCAGCAGCAGAAGGAGCAGAAGAAGGAAGAGCCACAGGAGCCCTGCTTGTCGCTTGCGAGATGGGCGGCGAAGTGTCCTTTGACGCTCCAAAGAAAAAATCGGAGGGGAGCTTCCATTTCCATTCTAAACCCAGGGATCCGAATCTTTTTCGGGAAATCAAAGACCAAGGGGAAACAGCTGGTTTTTGAAAAGAACGATGGTTGAAAAGAATGGAAAATGAATCCTGTGGTGAGATTTTCCGCGTTTGGGTGGCCTAGGCTGAGTTTGAGGAGGAGCTGGGCGACAAGTTTCGCTTGAGAAAGTGACAGGTCTCAAACCTCATCTTGGAACCCCGCGGTGTGGTTCGACACCTTCATTATTCCGTCGCAAATGATGCAACAAAGCATAACTACACACATGATGCCGTGCACTTGTTGCCGGCCACTTGCCGATTGATGTCTCCTTGTGTGTTGCTTCCATGGTACAATTTATGTGGCCGTTGTAGGAGAGGGGCCGCTTTCCTAAACGGCAAACCTTATGCCATCGGTTTTTTGAGTTGGTGAACCACAGAAGGACCACAAAAAAGGATAAGGGAAGTCCCGGGTTTTTTCTCGACGTTGTTAGGAGCTGGCCCGCAAGCAGCTGCCGGGGGCCAAGAGTGACCTTGCTGCGCAGGCCCTGAGCGCCCGCTGACTCCCAAAAACAATAACGAAATAACCAAACACCCAACCCGACCTGACTCAAAGCTTGAATGCAACAGGGCCTCTTTGCAAGCACATAGTTGCATCACCTGAAATACATGCGGGTATCATCACCAACATACTCAGCATCGCCATCATCAGCATCATCAACATGCTCAGCATCACCATCATTGCATCATGAACATGCTCAGCATCACCACCACTTGCATCATCTCACGATCATCAGCATCATTAACATGTTCAGCATCGCCATCATCAGCATCATCAACATGTTCAGCATCGACATCATCAGCATCATCAACATGCTCAGCATCGCCATCATCAGCATCATCAACATGTTCAGCATCACGATCATCAGCATCATCAACATGCTCAGCATCACAATCATCAGCATCATCAATGTTCAGCATCGCCATCATCAGCATCATCAACATGCTCAGCATCACCATCATCACCATCATCATCAGCATCATCAGCATCATCAGCATTCTCAGCATCACCATCATCACCATCATCAGCACTTTTAGCATCACCATCATCAACATCATCATTATCATCCACATGTCTACGAGCAGTGACTCTGGGATGTAAGGTGCACTGGGCTGAACAACTCGGGAGCCTTTCGCAGCTCCTGGCTTGTGACTCATCTTGTCGCACGGGTTCTCTCGACGACTTTGTTCAGATTTTAGCGCCGCATTCTGCACTGAGCGCCACAGAGCCCCTCCTCCCCCAACCCATAAGTCCCTAAAGCCCCTATTTTCGGGCCTCAGACCCCCCTCACACCCCAAACCTCGATTTTCAATCGGATTTTTTTGACGTCCAATGTAGTTGGACCACTTTCTTTGGTACAAAAGAGCGGTGTTGTGAGGCTGCAGCTGCTGCAGTCGGCCGGTGCTGCAACTGCCACGGTGGGGGGCTCGGATAGGACTGGAGCAAAAGAAGTCAAGGGCAATCTCTGGAAAGAGATGGAATATCTTTCCCGCTCCCTTATCTCCTCTAAACCAATGCCTTCATTTGTCTGTCTTGGAGATATTCTGGTGGCAAATGATGGACCTCTTCCTCATCCTATTTCCCGCTCACGTCTCTCACCTAAAGATGGCTCGCTACGGCGGGTAGGATGATGAGGGAAGAGGAATGCTGGAGTGAGGAGGGAGAATGGGCTGGAAAGTAGGTGTGGCTTTTTGGGAGTACCGGACTGTTTTTGGGGTGGTTTTAGAGCAAACAAAAAAAGGAGACACTGTGAGACACCCACCGCCTATTTGGACCCACTTTTCAATGGATCAACGGTAGATTTGTTTTTTCTTTTGGTGAATTACCCCGAGTGACTGTTCAGGGCTGAGCAAAAGGCATTGGTGTTTCAATGGGGAGCCGCGGCTCCCACTCGGGGCCGCTGGGGTTTCGGTAGCAAGTGAAGCACAGCGGCCATTGCTGGAGCCGCTTGGATTCTTCCCGTGGCTTGGCCATAAAACTGCACCCATAGGTGTCCTTTTTGGGTTAGTGTGGTCAAAAATAGAGGGCACTGGTTTAGATGGGTTTTATTCCATTTACCAGTGCCATCTATTTTTACAAAAGGACACCCATGACTCCACCAGGAGATCTTTGCATTTGAAACGTGGTCCACCTCCGTTAATTCTTCTGCTCCAAGTTGCGTGGGGTATGGGGCCGGGCCAGGGCGGGTCAGCGAGTAGCATAAGTTCGGAGCTGCGCCAGGGTTGCCCAGACCTGCTGTTTCTTTGTTTGTTTGTTTGTTTGTTTGTTTCTTTCTCTGTTCTTTTGCTAAGGAGGGTCAAGCAAGTGCAACACTCTGTTCCAGGGGTCATTCTGTTTCCCCATGCTGTCTACACAGGACCTGGATCCCCCAGTTTTTTTGGAGTGACACTTGCCAGTCGTGCCCACACCGCAGATTTCGGGCCAGGGGTGCTACCCCGTTTTCTGCGTTTCGAGCCAACCCCCACCAAAAATTCGCAGCCACCAGCTTCAGTCAGAGGGCCTTGCGCAGATCTGGGGATGCCGCGCGTCAAGACGTGGGAGCATCGCGATGTGTTTCTTGAGCTGAAAGAAAAGCTCAGTCCGCCTCACATGGAGCAAGCCACGAAAGAGCCTTCCGCAAGAAACTTGGCCATGGGCGGCTGCTTGACATGGCCCGCGCACTTGTCCTGGCGGCGCCTCGGTTTTGGTTCAGACTGGGGGAGGAAGGGGGGGGGGGTGCGGAAGGCTGCAAAGCAACCTACGCGGCATTGAAATCATCGTTCTTTCTTGGGATCCCTCATTGCAAGTGTTTGATTCTTGGGGAGTTACTGCACAAAATTGGCAGGTGGCAGTAAATTTTACTGGGGAACACCCCCCAAATGGTTGGCAGCATACAACTCCACACTCCCAAATGATGTCTACAGGGTCCAACATTGAAATTCATAGCCAGGTTGCTTCAGTCAAGAGGACAGTTGTGGTCAACGCCAGTTGGATCCCTTTCGGCATTTGCATCCGACGCCCAGCAGCTCATTAGGGTCAAGCCCAAACTATGATTTTTGGGGAGCCTGCAGAACGCAATCGAGCGTCTAGGGCTTGAATGATTGCTAGACTTTCCCTATTGGTTTTCGAAGCACCCTACAACCCCACTCCATTTTTTGGGGCCCTTGTACAACCGCTGGGAGTGAGTGTCTTGCACATACAAATTGCCGCAGGATGCATCACCTGCGAAATCCCAAGCTTTGACTTGTTGGGCTGAGAGTTTAATGCAACAGAATACAAGTGAAGGCATCTGGCACAAGCCAGCCCCGATTTCCCTTGGTTTGCTTTCGGAGAGCCATGAAACCCGAACACTGAACCCTCGCAAAAAAAACATGTCAGGAACGGTGCAGGTGACCAAGCAACAAGAACTTTGGCACAGATTGAAGAAGCAAGAAGACTCCTCTTCGAGCATAATTCAGGAATTCCTGGACACCCTCACTGCAATGGAGATGGAATGGATGGAACTCAAGATCCACCACCAATCCTCATCCAGGACCACAAAACATGACTCCACGACAGGCAGCTTCATCGACGTAGTCCTCCCCAAGAAGAGACCCTTCGATGCTACTGCAGCAGAGCAGAACATTCAGGGCGCCATGCTTGACCAGCACTTGACATCCTTTTTGCCATCCATGGAGAACCTCACCAAGATCTGTGACAGCTTTTACCAATCCACACAGCAAGAATTTGCATTCCTCCAGTCAACAAGCCCGTCAATCCATCAGAATATTCTCCTTGCCCAGGTCGCCTATGTTTTGGATGCAACTGCTGCCAACACAGTTTACAAGATATATGCTTTCATTGTCCAGTCAAGAATTGCCTCAGCAATCGATCACTTGCTACCCAACCTCACACCACCCCTTTTTACCTCCTTTTCTTAGATTGCTCGTTGGCTTTCGACTTTGTAGAGCTGTACCACCTTGTCTCATCACTGCTCCGCATGGGCCCCCTCGCCCCCTCCACGATCTCGAGCACGCAGATGATACCGCCCTGCTTGCAGGATCAACCCGAACTTTACAAAGATACCTACACTCTCTCCAATTTGTTGCCTTACTCCCTCAACCAAGACGAATCCCAGCTTGTTGCTGCCCGTTTTGCTTTCTCATCTTGTCACCCTGATTCCCCCTGTACGTGCACCTTGGCGGTACCGCTGCACTCTCGGAACCGATTTGTCCTATTCCCTCCAAATACCTGGGGGGCATGGCTCATGCCTACGGGATCTTCCCTTTCTGACAGGCACCCCGCCCTTCCTTCGCCACAAGCGTATCTCAGTCAAGAATTTCTAGCCAGATAGATCAGGTTATCCTCACTTAGCCTGCAGAAGCCCAAATCTTCACCGAATCCCAGCGCAGACAACGCAACACGCTCCACTTCCAAATCCTCGGAATATAATCCTCATACTGCCACCGAGTCCGCTTTCCCTCAGAGGATTAGTGCTCCAATGAATTTCTTTCCACCCAACCCCCCCCCCCCCTTACACGAATTTTCTCACCCTGTTTGGCAGCCCCGCACTACTCACTCCATCCGGCCTCTATTCGGAACGAACGCCCATAGTTGGCGCTTGAATACTCCACTCTGAAAAACTTTGCACTCACTCTCATTGGACAGATCCAATTGGCAGTATATTGTAAATGCTGGCATACCACGAAACTGACCATTGCAATGTTGCGTGCTGCTGTCTTGTTGCCGTTTTTTCATTTATACGGTGGCTTCGCGCTTCGCAAAACGAAACATACAAGTGACTTGAGGGTTGCGTCCGTCCTGGTGACAGTTCTACACGCGAACAAGAACAACAATACCTTTTTTGGGTTCGTTTTCCTAGAGCTATGACATGGAGTAGGGGAACTTTTTATTGCCAGAAACAATGGATCGTGTGATTTCATGCACGCCGCCCACTGAAACCGTCTTCCAAGGTAGGAGGGCAGCCTCAAGGGGTTTCAGTTGTCCATTTGCGCCTCGCTTCTTGCCTAGTTGCCATCTGAGATCCCTTGAAAACCACAAAAAAGGATCCTTGGAGAAAAGCTATGACAATTACTATGGGAATTACCAACTCCAAATGATGAATACCTCCCCACTTCACATCATTCCAGGTTGCCGCAGCGGTTCGCCTGGATCAGAGTAACCCACAACGGGGACCCTTCTCATCTTGAGGGTTTCCTAATGGGTCGACGTTGGGCCCCGGCTGTTTGCATTTGATTTCAGGTTTTCACTTTTTCACTCGGCCACGGGAATCCCCGAAGTGACTGGGAATTTCAGGGAAGCTCACTGGGATTTTAACAAGCCGCCCGGTCCACTTCGATTGGCCAGTTCGTGTTGAGGCGGCAGCGGTCGTCATAACCGCGGCGGACTGCTGCTGGCCGCGCCTCGATCTCTCGTTTGGGAAACATTGGAAACAAGTCATTTTGACCGTGGCACAAACGACTTAACAGTTTAAACCTGCACTATGGACCAGAATCAACCATATCATGTGTTTGGAGCAAAAACTGATCTATTCACAGGTTACATTTTCAAGAAAGAAGGAGATGCGCTTTCCTATTCCCCCCAAAAAACCCTCCCACGCCCTGTGCTTTGGAAGCCAAAAGCACCCCATGTTGGAGAGGCACATCAGTGGGGACCACATAGCACGACCAAAGACTCCTGGAAGGGCAAGACTTAGTTTTCCAGCTGCACCTGCCGACAACAGAATGGAGAGAGAGTGTTCTTTAGAGTGCCCCGAAATCCTTTTTTTTCCCGGAAGCATTGCGAAGGGTTCTTCTTCTAAAAGCGGCTGCAAACTTCACCTGCCAATTTCTCATGCCAACTTGTCGAGAGCTACTTCACCTGCCAACTTCTCATGCCAACTTTTCGAGAGTTATTTCATCTGCCAACTTCTCATGCCAACTTTTCGAGTGTTACTTCACCTGCCAACTTCTCATGCCAACTTTTCGAGAGTTACTTCACCTGCCAACTTCTCATGCCAGCTTTTAGAGAGTTACTTCACTCTCAACTTTTCGGGTGTTATCTCACTATCCTAAAAACACAAGCTAACTTTTCTTTTCTACCTTCACATCTCGACTTTTCGGGTGTTATCTCATTATCCTAAAAACACAGGCTAACTTTTCTTTTCTACCTTCACATCTCGACTGTTAATTCTTCTTCTTTTTTTCTGGTGGGGGTAGGCCCGACGGGAGCTTACGAAACGTGCCCTCTGCGGAGATCGTGCGTGTCGAAGCGCTCTCGCTGTGGCGCCGTGCGAATTTGTCTTGACCTCGGCGAACCCTCTGCGGGGATCGTGCGTGTCGGATCGCTCTCGCTGTGGTCCCGTGCGAATCTGTCTTGAGCCCAATGAACCCTCTGCGGAGATCGTGCGTGTCGAAGCGCTCTCGCTGTGGCGCCGTGCGAATTTGTCTTGACCGCGGCG